GGCCAACTCTTCAGACAAACATTGGACTGGAGTATGGGACATAAAATAATACTTGTGAAGAGTGCGCTTCTTAGCTCAAACAGATACATGACACTAAATGGGCAGCTTCTGGCCAGAGGTGAGATGAGAAGGCAGAGAAGATTAGGAGCTGGTTGAATGGATGCAGGAAATCAGGGGTAGAAAGGAGGAGTGTGCTGTCACAGTATAGGGAGAGCAGTTGAGGTCACATAACAGTGTATGTATAAATTTTTGTGTGAGAGACTAACTTGAAATGCAAACTTTCACTTAAATTACAGGAATAAAAAAAAAAACAAAAAACATTGCATAAATTTATTTTCTGCAGAAATGCTTTCTATTAGCTACCAATTACTGAAATGCAGATCAATATATTTGCATGCTTCACATCTGCTCCCTTGGTCCTTTTCCTATCATTACATTCCTATTATCACATTAAAAAGTGTGTGTGTGTGTGTGTGTGTGTGTGTGTGTGTGTGCTGGTTCACAAACCAGCAATGCCCCTTTTCTTTCACCAGAGAACCCCGACCCTTGGGGAGTTAATATAAAACTGTCAAGAGGTTCAGAAGGAATGGGTTCTAGCCTCAGCTCTGCTTCTAATGAACCTTGGGCAACTTATGCAACCTCTTCTTCTGGATTTTCTTATTTATAATAAAAAGTGATTGAACTAAGTGAGCTCTAGAGACCCTCCCGATTCTAAAAGTCTAATGCTTTTATGAGATCTTTTTTTTTCCCCCACTTATTCTTTTATTCATTCTTTCACCAAATAAATTTCCCTTAACTTTGTGTACCTGGAGACATGAAAATAAATATACCCAACAATCTCTGGTCCCCAGGGTCTCAGAGTCCAGGGGAAGAAAAAAGTTAACAAACCACAGCAACGTGGCAAGTGCTACAACTGAGGTATGAAAAAGGGACTATGGTACACAGAAGACAAAACATGCACACTGAGATTCTAAGGACAACAGTCTGGAGTGGAGAAAAGGGGACATAAAGCAATGGATTTCTAGGCAGAGAGACTAGCATGGGCAAAATCTTGAGAGGGAAAAAAGAAAATTAGGCTTCTGGGGCTTTGTAAAGAGTTCAGCATGAAGGATGGCAGTCCTCATACCCTACACAAGGAACTTGGTTTTACCCAGTAGGCAAACATGGTGGCTTTGGGGAGGGATGAGACATGATGAAACTGGAATTTGGGAAGATCACTCTACGTGCACTGTGGAGCAAAGAATGTGGTATGGAACTGGGAGACAAGGAGGGAAGAGAAAGATCAGTTACGAGTTTATTATAATTGACCTGAAGAGAAATGATGAGAATCTGAACTAAAGACTGGCATCAGAAAAGAGATTTGACCTAGCTCAACTGGCATAACATAGTTTATAAAGAAAATGTTCTACATTCTTCTTTGCTGAGTAGCATCTGGGGTCTTAAAAGACTGAGAGAAGCCATCTAAGGTATTCCACTGGTCTCACCCCTTCAGGAGCTAGCAAGAAAACTAAAGACACAAGGGAAAGATTAGTCCAAGGGACTAATGGACCACAACTACCATGGCCCCACTTGACTGAGTCCAGTACAACTAGGTGGTGCCCAGCTACCACCACTGACTGCTCTGACAGGGATCACAACAGAGGCTCCCAGGCAGAGATGGAGAAAAATGTAGAATAAAATTCTAACTCACAAAAAAAGACCAGATTTACTGGCCTGACATACTTGGAGAAGCCCTGAGAGTTTGGCCCCTGGACACCCTTTTAGCTCAGTAATGAAGTCAATCCTGAGGTCATCCTTCATCGAAAGATTAGACAGGCCCATGACACAAAATGAGACGAAAGGGGCACACCAGGCCAGGGTAAGGACAAGAAGGCAGAAGGAATCAGGAAAGCTGGTAATAGGGAACCTAAGGTTGAGAAGGGAGAGTGTTGACATGTTGTGGGGTTGTTAACCAGTATCATAAAACAGTATGTGTACTAACTGTTTAATGAGAAGCTCATTTGTTCTGTAAACCTTCATCTGAAGTACAATAAAGAAAAAAAAGAGATTCGATAAGTATTAATAAGTTATGCTAACTGAAAGGTTGGAACCAGCCCAGCAGCTCTGTGGGAGAAAAGACCTGGCAATCTCCTTCCGTAAATATTACAGCTCAGGTCACATGGGATCGCTATGAGTTGGAATCGACTTGTCGATACAAAACAACAACAAATGAGTTACAATGGCCAGGTCTCATGATCCAAAAGTAGGGCTGAGAGAAAGAAAAGTCAAAAATAAGTCCTGGGAGAAATTAAGAGGATATGAAGAAGTGAGAACAGAGAGAAGGGACTGATTTGAGGAAAATTAATGAAGCAGAAATGTTAGTATCAGCTGAATGATGAGCTTCAGGGGTTGAGAAAGAAGGAAGAGAAAAGGACGATGGCTCTGTTCTTGGTTTGGACCCATGGGTGCGTTGTGGGGTCAGTAATGAAAATGGGAAAACAGGAAAAAACTAGATTTTTAGGAAAGAAAATGTATTAATATTTCAGCACATTGAATCTAGGGTGCCTGACAGCCATCCCGGGAAAGATGTTTGGTAAGATTCAGTCAAAAACTAAGGCACAGAATGCTTATGTAACTTATGCAAGGTTACCCTTTGGTAATTGCTAGAGACAGATTGGAATCCTGGCAGTCTTCACTCCACAGTCCATGTTAACCACTTCATAGTGTTCATCAGAGTATAGAGACAGAGGTTGAAATCATGGAACAGTACGTGGAGTGCAAGAAGGACTAAGGACAGAGTCTGGAGAAACACCAGTACTGAAAGGGAGGACAGATCCGGGACTCTGAAAACTGAAAATGGCCCCATGAAAGCCAAAGGGAGATAAAGTTTCAAGATCGAACAACTATTATTTCACAGTGTCACTTGATGCAGAGATTCCAGTCAGGTGACAGAATTTGACAATTAGAAGTCCACTGATTCTAGATCACTCAGGGAGAGTAGTTTCCCAAGAGGCTAGGGCCAGACTGTTTTGGTTGAGGAGAAAATGAGATGAAGTGAAAAGAGGGAGTGCAGACTCCTCTTCCAAAAAGCTAAGCTGTTAAAGGAGTGTCATCTCAGGAGGTTGCCGGAGGAGTATGAGTTTAAGGAGTTTTGTTTTAGATAGGAAGATTCTAAGCATTCTTTTATGCCAGATGTTTATTAATAAAAAATAAGATTCATTAAGTGGCTTACTAAAAACCCATAAAATACTTACTATACTAGACTTGGAAACACCTTAAATACAAAGGAATTTTTGCACACTGCCTCCCCTTCCTAGATCTTGAGCTTCTGATCCCCCCCATCAGGCTCTACTGGGTCCACATTGGTGGATGCTTTCACTGGACTCCTGCTACAAAGGTCTTTCTTCAGTTCTTCACACATTCTAAGCTCTTTGTCATCTCAAGGCTTGCCATCCCCTTTGCCTGGAACTCTTGCCTTAGCTTGCACATGGCTGGCTTCTTTTCATTCTTCAGGTCCAACCTTTTCAGAGAGACCTTCCCTGACCAACCTTTCTCAAGTCACACTCCTACCTTATTTTCTACCACAGTACTCTACTGCTTCTCTTCTGAAATCAGTCTATAACCACTTTATTTGCTCATTTTTTATTGTGTCTCTCCCACTAGAATGTATGCATGATGACTGCAAGGATGTCTGGCTTCTTCACCTCTGAATCTTCAGTCCTTAGAACAGTTCCTGGCAAATAACAATATGCTCCACAAATATCTGTTGGATGAACTTAATAACCGAACATCTCCCTCTATCACTTCCTCTATTGGGATCATGCATGCTGTTTCTTATATTCAAGATCTTTTCCTAATGTGTATTAACATACATAATCATGATAGCTAATATTTACTGAACTCTCACTGGGTACCATGCACTGTGCTATTAGCTTTATTTGTATCATTTCACTTAATCTTCAAAATAGTCCTCTCACATAGATAGGTACTTCGAAAATTATCTTCATTGTACAAACAAGGAAACGGGAGGTTGCACAACTTGCCCAAACTGACACATTCTAGTTTGGGCAGTTCTGATCTAGCATTAGTCATACTGAGATTGCACTTGCTCTATCCAGGCCACGTCCCAATCCATAAATTCAGATTTCACCACCACCCCTCCTTTTCCCGGTTGCTTTCTTAGGGCAGGAGATGAGGGCAGGAAACAGTGGAGGGTAGTCCCGAATTTTCAGTTCTCGGCTTCTCCCGAGGAAGACGCATATAGGGAGAAGAGATCCATCGTCAGCAATTTCTCTCTTAGTACTAAGGAGTGGTAACTCCAGGCCTAACAAGCCTTTGCGGCTGGCGGGTTTTGGACAAATCCTGCACCCCAGCAGCGGCCGAAATGCTTACCTTAACTGCCACCTCCGGAGCCGAGTCCACCGCCACTGTCAGAGAGGGCTTGGCCGAAGGCGATTTAGTCAAGTGCATGAGGGAATCGGCGGCTGGCAGCGAACACCGTCCACCCTCACTGTCCGAGTCCGATTCGGATCCTGAACCCGAACCATAGGAAGCAGCCAAAGCTGCAATTGCAGCCGACATGACGGCAACAAATCCTCTGCGGAGACCAGGCCCCGGAGGAAGAAGTAGCTCCCAGGTCCTGACAGATTACCATGGAACACATTATTTACTTCGCTTTGCTAAGAAATCATTTATAACATTTTAAAACAATAAATTAATTATTAGTAGAATTGATACAAGAAAGATAAGAATTTGGAAACACTTATCTGGAGAAACAGAGAAAATTAAATAGCTTATAGCTTTCAGGACCTAGTTGACTAAATCGAAGACTACGAGTTCCGGAATACCTTGAGGCCTCGAGGTCCTGACCCCCGGCATGCAGCGCGGCAGGAAGTGGCGAAAAGGTATAATGGGAAATGTAGTTTAGATTTAGAGGGCGGGGCGGGCCGGCCTCTCTTTGACCCCGCCCCTGAATAGATGGTTCATTCAATTGGCTATCATCTTCCCTCGTCCCCTCGCCAAGCACTGTTCTCTCCGTCCCCCTCCCCCAGACTGAGGATTGGGCAATACCATACAGCCTCAGGAAAGAGGGGAATAGCGATCGTTACCCCCCCACCCGCTGATAGGTGAGTGGGTGGAGGCTGAGTTTCCCGCAACGGCTACACCTGGGCACTGGAGACTGAAGAAGAACGTGAGAGTCTTAAGTTCGAAGACCTTTACGGGCGGGGAATAGTTCCTGGTGGGAAGGATGGGATGTTAGGTGGAGAGAGTCCAGCGGTCCCCCCTGCTTCTGGCGCGGGTCCCCTCGCCCGTTTGTGGAGCGTCGAGCGCGGGGAGGGGGCGGGTGGGGGGCGGCGGCGGTTCGCGGTGTTGTTCGCTGGCGCGTCGAGCACACGGTGAGTCCGGCGACCGGCGGACGCCGCAGGCGGCGGTCCCTGTGCCTCGTAGCCTTAGCCGCTGGCCGGAGCGGGTTCTACCCCGGAGCCCGACGTTCCTGGGGGCTCTAGGTGGAGTCTGGAGAGCTGAGGGGGACCGGCGGCCACCGTCGAAGCATGAAGAAGGGGTAAGCAAGAGCCCCCCTAAGATTTCACGGTGAGCGCGAGTCTCTCAGGAATTTCTTTTTTTTTTTTTTTTGAGGGTGAGGGATGCTAGGAGAGGAACTCCACCTCAGCGGCCGGAACAGAGAGAGAGGTGTGTATGGATCTCTAGCCCCGCAAAGGTTAAGGGGATGGGCGCGCCTCCCCCTGCGATGGTCCCCACCCCCATTCGTGGGTTTCCCGAGCTCTTGCTGCCCGCGCGCCCGCCAGCCGGGCTGGGTGCAGAGGGAGACGGAGGCGGGCGCGCCTGGGTCTCGGTTGCAGGGGCCGCCCTGGGGCTGCTCTAGGCGAAAAGACTGCGGGTCTCACCTGAGGTACCACCGCCGGAGCTCCCCTGCCCACCTGCACCCACCGCCTGCCCCCGTGCCTCCTCGCTTTGGGAGAGGCTGCAGCACCGAATTGGGGAGAAGCCCCTGCTAGCTCTACATGCCCGCGGCTCTGTAAAGCAAGCTTGTGCGTTTGCGTGTTTGCGCCGCGCGTCTGTGTCTACAGACAACGGTAAAGCGAGAGTGGGGAACCCTTTATTCGTTTTGAAGAGGATGCGAAGCGGGGCAGACGCCTCTGATGCCTGTTACGGGGGTGCCTCGGCCAGAGTTGAGGAGCTGCTCGCTCAGCTCCGATGTCGGCAGGACTCGCCCATTGTGCCACCCAGATAATTATTCAACTATGCAGCATCCATTGCACCTTTTCCCATTTTTCTTTTCCCCTTGCTACAGCATGCCCCCTAGCTTCGGCACTCTGACGCCTTCTCTTGCACTTGCGGATGATGAACTGAAATGATGAAAAGACAGCATTTCTGACCTGAACATTCACGACCTGTCTTATAACCGATTAATTAGTTAATCCCTAGGTACACTAGGTATTTTAACACGGCTCAATCTAATTCTATCCTTTTCTATATAAGATGTACATTGGATTATACTTTAATTTTTTTCTTCAGTGTTAAAAATTCACGTGGTAGTTAAGTCTTATTTTCGTTCAGCGGTTGGTTTATTGGTATTTCAGTTCGTCTTATGTAATGTACTTTAATTTGCATGTTAGGTAACTTACATTTTCTAATTGATGATAGCACTGTATTTATCTTAATTACAAGTGCAGTATTTATGAACACATGAACTCTTAAGAAACAGTTCTGCTGTATGCTCTAAGTTTCTTTTGGAAAAAATATTTTTGTTTATGTGCATTTTTGGATAAAGTACTTGATAAAAAATTTCTCAAATTTTGATTAAGAAAAGTTTTGTATTCATTTTTCAGTAGTGGAATATTTGATTGCTAATAGCCTCTAGTTGAATGAAAGGGAGGATTTAATATTTAAGATGGGGTTTTAACTGCCATATTGAACATTATTTAATTTACTTAAATTTTATTTTTTTTATTCAGTTCCTTTCCTTGACAATATTATACATTTGATTACTTGTTACAGAGGTTTCCCTCATTTTTCTAACTTCTGTCTACAACGATGGATAGGCTCCATTTTTGCATGATCTACCTGAAAGATGAAATATTTTTTGAAACTATAAGAAACAACTGTTGGTTACTTGATTACCATGTAAAAAAATATATACGTGTTGTTATTTAAAGATAAGTTGTTCGCTGCCCCAAAGTGTTTTATTTTTTTAATCCTCTCTTCCCAGCTCTCATTGTTTAAGCTTGTTGCATTAACCCTTAACCCTTTTGATAAAACAGAAATGTACATAGGTATTACAGAGGCAGTTGTTTTAAGGTACAGTAATTATTTTATGGCACTTGGAAGTGGCACATATATAGTAAAAGTTGATGGTGTAGGATCAGGTTATTAGTTAGGAAATGACCTTGCAGTTTACAAAATGGACACCTTTGTGCCTTGATTTCCTTATACGTAAATGAAGATAATACTGGTTTATGTCTGTAGATGGTATGAAGAAATAGTAAAGATGTTTTCTTAATACTTTTAAAGAATATTTGAATATTTTAGTTGATAACTAATGAAAACAATTCAGTGTAAACTACAATAAAAAATGTCATAGTTTTCTTTGGCACATTGGAATGCCTCATTTACGTTGAATTTTGCTTTGTAGAGGAATGGCTCTAAAGTGAAGGATGTTTCTCATCCATCAAGAGTTCTTACTATTTGTAGGTTATTGATGTATGTGTAAATAGTTAATATCGATGAAAAAATTATGACTTGGTAATGAAACAAGTAGAACATTGAATAAGTTTGTGAAAGATAAAATTTCCAGGAAATATTAAGACCTTTTTCATTGAAAAATTTTCAGGTTAGAAAATCCAAATACATAGTTGTGATCATTTGTAAGGTATGATGTGGAGCTACATTTTTTATTATTCAGGTTCGTAAATAACCATATATTCAGAGACAATGTGTTAATATTGTGTATGACTATAATTACACATTTTGCTTTATTATAGGAATAGTTTATCATATCCTTTTTCTTTGTTTGATTTTCATTACCACAGTAGACAGAAATAGTTTAAGGTACCTTTTCTCCTTGTTTGGTTTTCATTACTACAATCGATACTAGTTTTTGATTTGTTTATTGGAGAATTTAACTTAATTTTCTTAGCAAAAACTATTAAGATATTATATTATTAGAAATTTTACCGAAACAGTGCTTTTGGTTACTTTATGAAAAAGACTATTAAAATGTGTCTTTAAAATTACTATTGTGTAATTTCTTTTTTTGTGAATTAATTTAGACTTATCAAACAAATTTTAATTTATAAAATATCATATAGCTTTATCTCAGAGAAGAGAAAAATTTGGGGGTTCTTTGAACTTCATTTACCTCTTCAGATATAATTCATAATTCCTTTACCCACATGTTTTTAAAAATAGCTCTAGATATTGAATAATGTATAAGTTGGCAGCTTTCACTTGTGAAATGGTATCAACAATTTTATTCTCACCTCTTAAATCTTGTTTCATGAACATGTGCATTAATTTTTTTCCCCTAAATTAGGTTTACATAGAAATATGTGCAATTCTTTTTTGATTTATCTCATTTTCAAGCAAAATATTAATAAAAACTATGTATGTTAATTAAATCCTGTGTTAAATGTCTGAATTGTTATTGGCTGCTGTTGAGTTGGCCCCCAACTGATCCATAGGATTTTCATTGGCTGATTTTCAGAAGTAGATCACCAGGCCTTTCTTCCCAGTCTGCCTTAGTCTGGAAGCTCCACAAGCCTCCTCTTAACAGATGAGTGGTGGTTGCGACTGAGGTGCTTTGGCTAGGAATCCAATATGGATCTCTCACATAAAAACCAAGAATTATAGCACTGAACCACCGAACCATCACTGCCCCTGGATGTTTGATTACCTAATTTTAGAAATAATGATCCTTGTGGTGGATGGAACTTTTTTATTAAATCAAGAATCCTGTGTTTGGTTGATCACATCCAGTTTATAATTTGCAATCTTTGTGTACTTATAGTTTCTTAGAGTGGAATTGATTATATTTTAAAGCTTGTAAAATAGTTTGGAACTTAAAACTTTGTCAGAGAAACAATGTTATGCTTAGTGGTTAGATTGGAAGACAATCCACCATTTAACCCATAATATACCTGCATTATAGGATTATGCTAGTAATACCAGAGAATCATAAAAATTATGGTGATAATTAGTATAAAATTATATTGAAAATATTTAACACTGTGTACAATGTCTTTATGGGAAAATAATTCAAAACCTAGCTTGAAACACTAGGAATACATTTTTTCTTGAGTTAGACCTGATAGCATTATTAGGAACTTGTCCTCTGTCACCCACTGGACTTGAAGAGGAGAGTCTTCTCAGTTCAGTGAGTGGTATAGCTTTCCATCATCTGGGGCAAGGGGTCAGGGAATGAGAGGAACTGGAAGGAGCTAGATGTTCTAAGTGAACTTGAGCAAGTCACTTTACTTCTCAAGGTCTTGGCTTTCTCAATTGTAAAATGAGATTGATTAGATGACTTCTACCTACAAATAAAATTGTAAGGCACTTTCAACTCAGTGTAGCCCTCTTTTTCTAAGAGTTCATTTTCCCTTTCTAATATTACTGCTTATCACTTCCTGTCAGGGAATTTCTCCTTTCTGGATCTACCTCTGAAAAGAACATAGTCTTAGCGATCTATTTTGTGATCACGTGCCTATTGGAGGTTTTTTAGAGGAATTTTGTTATTATAGCTGCTGTTTTGCTCTTTTTCTTTCTTAAATCCCAGCACCGCCAAGTGACAGAATTAAGATTATTTTTTCCTCTTCTGAGTTTTTTTACCAAGACCCTATAAGTAAAGTCAAGGTAGATTTTATTTATACTTTGGAGAAGATCATATGCAGTGACTCTCCAGAGGAATTTTGTTTGCTTGTTTATTTTTTAAGGAAAAATATTGGAAATGATTTTGAGGAGTGGGAATATGAAGGTAAAGAGATGGAATATAACCTAGGGATAGGATTGCCAGATAAAATATGGAGAAGCAGGTATTTTTATATTATTATATTAAATCTGGCAGCCTTATCTGGGGTGCTGTGGAGCTCTAGACATCACAGGAGTAAGAGGTGGGGTTGGGGGCAGAGTGAGAAAGTGAATTTATAAAATCCTGAAAGCATGGACAGTTTTGTTACTGTTGTTTGGCTGGTTGTTTCGTTTTGCTTTGCTTTGCTTTTTGTGTTCCCAGTGCCTGTTCTTTAGTTTAAGCTAATGGATATTTGAGTGGATGCAATTACTAGAGAATAACAGATAAGTAATTCTCTTAGGAGGGTGGAAAGATCAGGATACTGTGAGAAAAGGGGTTATGAAACACAGCTATGTATATACTCTTATTCTATACACTGAAGTATTTCATAGCTTTTTGCTTCTCATTTGGAAGTTGCTAATGTTGAAGGATAAAGTATAACATGGTCTCCTAAGAGGAAAGGAATAGTGCATGCTTACTATATGTGCAAGTCATTTATACATTTATTATCTTATTTAATTGACATTGCAGTCCTATGAGTATTCTGTGGAAAAAGGAGGTAAGTTACTTACTCTACCTAGCAGAGGGTCAGGTTCTTTGGGAACTACTTAACTCCTCTAACCCACTTTTCTCAATAAGTTACTGCTAGAACAACATTTATTATTATTTAATAATAATTCTGCCTGCTTGTCACCCTCAATCTGCAGTTGGTTGATCTAGTAGTGATTCTCACCTGTTCCATGCTAGAAAAATGATTCATTCAGCACATAATTATTGAGGGCCAGCTAGGTGTTGGAAGGATACAATGGAGAACAGAACAGAGGTCTTTATCCTCGTGGAGTTAACGGTGTAGTAAGAGAGCCAGATACTGAATACACAAATTTATAATTAGTAATTATGAGTGCTATAAAGGAAAAGAACAGGAAACCTAATTTACCTTGGGAGTCAGGGAAGACTTCTTTGAGGAAAAACATCAGTGGAAGTTGTTGATAGCTGTCATTGAGTCGGCTTCTGACCCCATGTACAGTGGAACAAAACATTACCTAGTCATGTACCACCATTGTGGTTCAGATTGTTAAAAATGATAGTATTTCATTGATTTTTTTGGAAGGACATTGCCAAGCCTTTCTTCCTAGTTTGTCTTAGTCTGGAAGCTCCACTACAACCTGTTCAGCGTCATAGCAACACACAAACCTTCACTGACAGATGGCTGATGGCTGTGCGTGAGGTACGTTGTCCGGGACGCAAACGCAGGTCTCCCTCATGTCAGGCAATAATTAGCTAGGTGAAAAGAGAAGAGTGCAAAGAACACATGCGAGACAATTTTGAGGTGGGAAAGAGCCTGGTACGTTCAGGGAACTTAAAAATAAATAAAAACGCCAGAGTAGATTAAGCATAGTGAACAAGAGGGTTTGTGAGTTTAATAGGAGGT